AGAGAGAGAGAGGGAGAGAGGGAAAGAGAAAGGGTCGAATACAGGGGTGGATGTGTTGAACGTTGGAAGGGTTGCAATGCGCGGCGGTTTTACGCGGCTGTGCGAGTTGCAATTCATGCGGCGCAGGAACTGATATTTCGCGGAAAATGAATCACTCTTATACAAACGAACGGACACACAGTGGTAACGGAATACAATAGTCAGACAATGGGTAGAGCGTAGCTTTCGGCCGGCGGTGGCTGCGGCTCGGACGGAGGGATCGTAACCAGAGAGATGCGCGACAGTGCTGGATTCCGTGGCTTTCCAGGGGGAGGAAAACGTACCCAGCGAAAGGATGAAACTAGCGTTCTCTATGTCCAGCGACGGAACAAAGGTGCGCGTTTAGGAATACAAACTGCAATCGTGCTGCCCCGGAACAACATCCAAATTAAATTGGAGACGTCCATTAGAGCCGAGGCTCGTCAAACTACCTCCACTCTAACTGGCTAATTGATGTCTAATTAGTACATTATTGAATCAACATCCGACGTGCAGAGAAACTCTTCGTAATAGTTTTCTATCCATACGTACTTTGCACCGTCACCCTGTTACATTTTATCGAGTACAAAAAAGCAAGAAAATGGAAACGAAGAGATGAAAGTTGCCATGTACTTACATCCAATATTCAACGTTTCTAATACAGGACTGGTCTTGATATACATTTTCTTTTTTTTTTATTATTAGTAAGCTACTTTCGTTCGAATATATGACTGTATATGAATATATGACTTTGTCGATGTACATTCAAATATAAAAAAAATCGTCTTCGAGGGAGAAACGAGAAAATTTCGGCGACGAAACTCATAATACGTAGTCTCCATATATGTATTTTGTTTTGCCAAATTGTTTTCTTTCGAGTAACACATAATATTCGAGCAATAAATATTGGAGCAAAGAGGAATCATCTTCACGGAAACAAGAGAGGTACGCTTCACATGATATTGCTTCTCCTACTTTGCGTCCTGTCTGTGAAATGAAAAGAGCAGTTTTTTAAACAGCTCCTTTAAATGCAATTTCATTTAATTTCGATGCAACACGGGCAAATAGTGAAAGTATTCCGGGCTGAACCTGTATCGAGTATTTCCTCGAAATATTATAGTGCACGGGAGATCTTTGAGCGATCCGTGTTCAAACGCACAGCCCGCCTCGCTCCATTTAGCATGGCATGCGATATTGCAAACTGTTTTACGAGCCCGGGCTGTTTCTCTTTCCTTTCTTCGCTCGCCTGTTGGCCATCGTTCTTTGACGTTGCTCGTGAACCCGAAGCAACCAATAAAGATTTTTCGAGAACAGCAGTATCGACAGCAATTCATTTCTTTTGACTATCTTCGGATCTCTGCGATTCACACACGCGTGCGTAAAAAAAAAGCCACAAACACACACATACGGATATATTCAAATCCATGCCCCTCGGTGTTCATGAAATTTAAAAATCATCGGTTCGAAAGGTAGCCACGTTCTCTCGAGATTGCTCCTTTGAGATCTGGTCAATCGTAGCACGCCTGTACCTTATCAAACGTCTCGCCCGTACTCTTCGAGGGTTTTCATGAAATTTAATAGCTCACCCGACACGTTCCTTCACTCGATTCGACGTGTATTACCTCGCGAAAGCCATTCGTACTGATTTCCTCTTTCATATTTCTGTGGATGGACGAAATCATCCTTCAAACTCTAATCGTCTCTCTCGGGACAGAGAGGGCCCGTAGTGAATCGATATTATAGATATTCTTTCTTTTTCTTTCTTCCGTGATTTATTTTTTTTTTTTCCAAAGAAAGAGGGAGACGTTTTCATTAAACATTTAACATCAGTAGGTATTTGATCTAACCTGTACATGTACAAACACGCAAGCTAGATCGACGTACATTTAGAGTGACTGTGTATCTAACATGTACGTAAAATGTTAAAACGCGCTCTACTTTAAGTGCTTCGTAACAACGAAATAACAGCGGATACTCGTGAAACTTGATTATGGAAAACTTCTCAAACTTCTGAAAAGCACGACGAAAGTCTCGCTAACTAATTGATTCTGCGTTCTCATGTACTTTCTACTCAAAATGCTACTAAAGAATCACTGCTTCTCGTCGTTCTCGCCATTTCTACATTTGCATCCAAACATTTCTGACAATTTTCTATCAGTTTCCTTTCTACGCTGTTGTACAGGACTTTAAACTATTTCGTAACGACCCATCACATATCCATCCACTTGGAAACTTAGAAAATTCTATTCTTTCTAAATCTACCAGCCTAGGAAAGAAACTTGTATCTCCATCGACCTCTATCGTTATATTGTATCGTAGACTAGCGAACCTATTATCTTTTATAGCCAGTTGCTCGCCCTGTAATAATTCTCTCCATAACATAAAGAGATTTCGCAGAAGTTCCTCCCATTGCACGAAAAGAAAGCGGAGGATGTAGTCCTGATTTTTCACGGCAACGGCAAGTGGAAATTCAATAGATGGCCGGACGGTAGAGAATGTTGTAGAGATTGTTACGGTGGGCGTGATCTATGGGTGCACCGTGACCCGGTCGGCCCCACAACTTTCTCCAGGTATCGAAATGTCTTCGACAGCTTTCCAACTCCATCTTTCGTTCCTCCTGGAACGAAAATCATCCCTTTATACAAGCTGCACGCGAGACTCTCTTTATCATCGAATCCGGTCCGACTAAGCGATCGCCAGTCGAACCTCGCTTCGAAATTTCAAAACATC